TCTCATTTTAGATTCTTATCTTATCCCCCCCCCCCAAGCACCACCCACCCCACCCCTCTTTCCCCACCTTCACCTATCTCCCACTCCCCCTCCCCCTCCCTCCTTTCAGGTAATTTAAGCTGCTAATTTGAGGATGACTTACCGAATTCTGATTCTCATTACTTTAATTTCAGTTTGATAATTCTTTTTTTTTTTCTTTTCGTTTTTAGGTGTTTTATTAATTCATTCAGTTCTTCAAAAGGAATAATCTGGATTCGTAATTCAATTGCTGATGATATCAATATGAGTTGGTCATGATTTCAATGAGTCGTAAAGTCAATTAGTCAGTCACTCTTCTGGTGCGAGGTTTTGCAGGCACGAGCTATTACCCTCCACCTCCCACCGTCACCCCCTTCTCCTCCTCTCCTTCTCCCCTTCTCCTCCTTCCCCCCTTCTTCCATCTCCTTCTCTATTCTCTCTTTCCGTCTTTTTCCAGCACACTCCTATTCCTCCTTTTCGCTCCATCTTCCCCTCTTTCTTTCTTACCTCCCTCACTCCCTCACCCCTCTCCTCTCCCCTGACTGTACGCACAAGTCCCCTTCACCCCCTCACGCCCCTCCCTCATCCCCACCCCACCCCTCCCTCGTCTCACTTTGCAATGGTACTTATTCTGAATTATATCCTAGTGTTTATATCAATGCAATATACTCTGTTTAGTAAAGTTAAGTGCATAAGTAATATCAGTAGATTATTATTTCCCCCTTTTAAAGTATATCACGATAAACCATATACGTCTTAAATCTGTGTTCTTCGTTATTAGAAACCAAAGCGTAATTATAAACGGAAAAATAAACGTTTACTCTTTTTCGTAACAACAGAGAGATTTCCTCAGAAGGAAAATATTAGAAACCCAATGTGTTTTTTTCTAATCTCGTTATACTTTTAGAGTCCATCAAAATGTATTATTCAGTGTAATATTAAGTGTACTACTTAATGTACTATACTTATTGATCATTGCACCTACTACTAGAAACAAGCATATATGGCGTAAATGAGGCAAAGGTCCCTATTGACTCATACCACAACCGTTATATATATATATATATATATATATATATATATATATATATATATATATATATATATATATATATATATATATATATATATATATATATATATATGTATATGTATATGTGTGTATGTATGTATGTATATATGTATGTATATATATTATATATATATATATATATATATATATATATATATATATATATATATGCATATATATACATATGTCTATATAATGGCATGAGAGGAGCCAGGGCAAGGCCTCTATTCCGCCATACATGTAGCACTGCACGCCGGAGGAACGGTCTAACGTTAGCCTTGCAGATTTTGAAACGTTTCAGTCTAACCATGCCTCTCAAAAAATACAAAAAAATATATAAATAAACATAAAAAAGCAAAAAAGATGTGTTATTCGCATAAGTATGTGTAGTAGGTAATAATTGCTAATTCTAATATTATTACTAATGATACTACTACTCCTAATGATAATAATTGTACTAATACTGAATATAATAATAATGATAATAATAATACAAGTAATAATACTAAAGCTAGCACTATCAAATGATTATGATGTGGATTGTCTTATATGTATATTACATACATACATATATATGTGTATATAAATGTGTGTATATAAATATATATGTATATATATATATATATATATATATATATATATATATATATATATATATATATATATATATATTATATATATATATATATTATATATATATATATATATATATATATATATATATATTATATATATATATATATATATATATATATAATATATATATATATATATATATATATATATATATATATATACATATATATATATATATATATATATATTATATATATATATATATATATATATAATATATATATATATATATATATACATATAGTATATATATATATATATATATATATAATATATATATATATATATATATATATATATAATATATATATATATATATATATATATATATATATATATATATATATCGGTAACTCTAGTACTAGAGGTCTAGTATTGGTCGTCGTGAGGAGCTCTGTGTTTTGGTGTCACTCGAATTGTTGTCGTCATGACTCACACCACTCATAAGCCACCCACCACCCCGCCCACCCCCATCTCCCCCTCTCATTTCCCCTCACCAGATGTGATACATTACCCCCCCTCCCACTACCCAAACCCCCCCCACCCTCCCACACTCCTTTCCATCCTTAGATATACAAATGACTACGTGTATATATGCATATGTAAATTAATTTTTTCCTCAGATACGTATCATTGTTACCAAGATCCCCCCCCTTTCCCTCCCTCCTCCAAGATATGATTGATAGATTATATATTTAAAAAATAAATGAATAAAACATATCTAATCTTATTATATATATAAAAAAGAAAAAAAAGCTTAACCCCTCTAAAAAT